TCATCTCTGAGTCAAAGTATGAACAATTCAACCCTTTTCTTGTGTAACTCAAAATTATTCCCCACCCCTGGGTTGGACCAATCCATGGTTGCACAACCAGTCTATTAATGTTCCTGCTTTCTCATAGCCGTTTTGACATTATTTCAATCTTTTATCATCACTGCCAACTTACTGGGTGTAAGGTGAAACTTCAGAGTTGCTTTAATTAGCATTTCTGTTAACATATTGATTTTATCTCCTTGCTATGGCTTTAACTACCATAGATTTGTGGTATCTCCATCTGCAGATTACAGAGTCAAAAAGTAATACAGGAAAAAAAAAAAACTTGACCAAAAACATGACCAATTACATGACCTTCCTCCAAAGTCTCTATAAATGAAGATCCCAAAAGGTATTTCAAATTTAATGGTCAGGGAGCATGATGAGACTTAAAGCAATTTTCTGTAACTGCAGAATGAATTCAAAGAGTGAGATAGAATAACAGAAATTAAAAGTTCAATTAAATGCCTAAAGGTTTCTCTGGCTGGCTGTCTATGGCTATATGTCTGAATTACAAAAAAGCTGTGATAGCTAAGAGCAAAAAGGGCTGAAATGACCCTCCTTCCCCACAACTACCATATTAGGTCATCCTAAGTACTAGCAAATAGCCATGCAGCAGAGAAAACAGACCAATAGAGGGATCCAGAATTAAGAAGGCAGCTCACAGCATGATGACATCACTAGACCTGAAGATTCAATGGCTCTGCAGGGAAAGAAGTCTCAACATCAGAGACAGAGAAGTCTTCCAGTGGGACACCATTAGAGTATGTTATTTAGGCCATGTGTACTCTCCTACCAGTGGTATAATGTCTTGTGGGAGAGTATACTGCTCTGTATATTGGGGAGGGGACAGTTGGGGTGGGATTTTCCTTGTCATGTATTTAACTAAGCTACTTAAATGTCTTTTTGCTTTGAATTAGTGGTTACTCTGGTAAGATATTTGTGAGGGCTCACAATCTCTGGTTTTGAATGGATACTGATCAAAACTGTGCATCCCACAGTTGAGGACATCCAGGTTAAATGTTCTATAAAATCAACAAGTATTCACTGAGTCCTCTGTGGTCAGCATTGTGTTAGGTGCTTTCAGGAAGTACGATAAAAATGTTGGTATTACTGACAATAATTTACATGTCAGAGCTATACCAATCAAACTACTGAGGGGTTTGGAAGGGCAAAGAATCTTAGGAAAAATAATGAAAAAAGTAGCAATGAAGGAGACCTAGTAGTATTAGATCTCAATTATTCTATAAAGCAATAATCATTCAAACAATTTGGTACTGGCTAAAAAATAAAAGTGTATAGTGGAACAGATTAAGGAAAACCTAAAAGCAATAAAGCATATTGCACTAGATTTTGGTAAATCTAAGGATACCAACTATTGAGGTAAGGAGTCCCTATTTGATAAAAATTGCTGGGAAAACTGGAAAGCAATCTGGCAAAAATTAGTTCATTTGTAATTTTTTATAGTATATGACAAGATGTTAGTATTTAGACTAACTATACTATGTCATAAACTATAAGAAATAAGAAATGAATTAGATTCAAAAGATCAAATCACCAAAAAAAACTGGAGGACAATGGAAGATCTCTTTTACAACCATAATAATAAAATACCTAAACAAGATATGATTAAAAAAGGTAAAATGAATAATTTTGATTATATAATATTGAAAAGTTTCTGCACAAGCAAACTAGTTGCAGTTAGAATCAGATGTGAAACAATTTGGAAAAAATCTTCACAGCAAATCAAATATCCAAGACATAGAATCAATACTTATATACCATGGTATACTGAAAAAATGTTTATCTGGCTCTCAAAAAAACGTGCTCCAGGGGCAACTAGGTGGCGCAGTGGATAGAGCACTGGCCTTGAAGTCAGGAGGACCTGAGTTCAAATCCGGCCTCAGATCAAATACTTGACACTTACTAGCTGTGTGACCCTGGGCAAGTCACTTAACCCCAATTGCCTTAAAAAAAAGTGCTCCTGTTATTTTAAAGTTTAATGTGCATTATTAACATTTTCTCCATCACTCGTCTAGAAATCATCAAAACAATTGCCAATTCCTAGTATGTTAATTTCTGAGGTGAAAATACACTGCAAATTAAATCTCTTTTCAGCTGCTTTCTTTTCCTCTGATTGGAGAGTATCAACATCTGAGAACTCCTCCCAGACCCTTCATATAAGGTGGGGGCTGGGGATAGACAGTGGAATTCACGAACTTTCCCCCTCCCTTACTCTCCTCCTCCTTTACAGCTTCTTTTTATATGTTGCCTTCTCCTATTAGATTGTGAGCTCTCTGCAGGCAGGGACTGCCTTTTGCTCTTCCTTGTATCCCCAGCACTTAGCACAGTGCCTGACTCATACTAGGTAGATACTTAATGTTTACTGACTGACTGATCATCTCTCAATAACTGGTCAAAGTGGGTCAAAAGATGAACAGGTATTTCACAAATGAAGAAATGTAAGCTACCAACTACTACAGAGAAAATATAATCCAAGTCATTGGTAATAAGAAAAAATGAAAATCAAACAACTCTGAGATTCAATATCACATCCATCATTCTGGCAATGAGGACAAAGAAAATAGCCATTGCTGTAGGGATTATGAGACCACAGGCAAACTAATGTACTGTTGGTGACATGAACTAGCTGAACCATTTTCTTTTAAGAAAAAAAAAAAGGGGAGCAATAATCCCCAAGTCACGAAACTGTACAAATCCTCTGACCTAGTGATAGTACCATTATGTAATTCTGGGAGTTCAAGGACAGAGGGAAAGAGCTGCTTTATATGAGAATACTTATAATGGCACTTTTTCCTTGGCAAAGAACTAGAAACATCAGTTAGCTATCAACTGGGAAATGGCTGAACAAATTGTATATAAATTCAATGTAACATTGTTGTGCCATAAGAAACAAGAAATATGACATTCAGAGGAATGCACAAAGATGTGTATGAACTGATGCAGAGTGAGGTGAACAAGAATCAGGAGAACAAATTTATACGATGGTCATGACATGAGGGGAACAACTGTGAAAGACTTCAGAATTTTTAAGCTACAACTATTTATGACTTCAAAACACAGATGACGAATTGGTAGAAAGGTGACAGACTGGAGGAATACAACCGGACGTGCATTCTCAGATATGGCCAATATCTTTATTTGCTTTGCTGGACTGTACATATTTGGCATAAGGGATAACTTCTACTTGGGGGGGAGTTGAGTTTATGGGGAGTGACAGAAAGCATTCCAAAGACATTCTGAAAGTTGCACAGAGTGGAAAGAGAAAAAAACAGAGCAATTTGTGACTGCCTAGTTCAACTTATATTTTTAAAAAACCTATTGTTAAAATGTAGAAACTTCTTAATGACTTCATTGCTTCTTTACTAATGGAACCTCCTGCCCAGCAGCTGGTCCCATTCAACTCAGACAGTTCTTGCTGGTAAATAAAATTTCTTTGCTCCTCCTTATTGGCATAATGTTATTCAAGCCTTCTCCAACTTTCCTCCCAGCAATCCCTGCTTGGTGCCTTTATGGCATGTGTTTTCAGCACATAACATTCTGGGTAATGGAATATTTTCCTATGGTCAGCTGTAACACAAAACACATACAACCTCCTGGAAGAGGCATTGCTTATATGAGAATATTTATATTCTTCTGGAAGAGGCATTGCTGCTGAATACTGGGTATGTACTGCTAAACCAAATGGAAGAAATCTAGGAGACCTACAAAGGTTCTTTCTCCTTTTAAGGAAGCTTAGGCATAGTAGTCTTCTAAAGACTCCTTTATTGTATAAAAGAGAGAAATAACACTAATGGTAAAAAACAACCGTCATGTAAGAGAGAAAAAATGCTTTGGTAAGTCAACATTTGAGATATTTTGGCAAGTGGAACCCTTAACTCATAACCTTTAAGTGGTTAGCCAAAAGAAGGAAATTTTCAGGCTAATTAGGTTGTCAGCAATCTTGATTTGATGATATGGGGACATCCTGCTATTAGAGAACACTGACAAAATAATGTCCTGGAACATGCTCTTTCTTTGGTTTACCGATGCAAATACTTTGGCCATGTTTCATGTACATCAATTCTCATGTCCAATATCAGTACTCCGTAAATAATTCCGTTTTGAATGTTAAATATCAAACATGAAGACCGTGTGGTACTTCCTTTAATCTTCTACTCAGGGAATCTGATACTTGCCACTCACATCTCTGTGAAGGAAGCTATGCTTGATAGTACATTTTCAAATCAGTCTTTATTTCATGCTACTTAAGTGTTTCAGGTTTTTATTTTAATATCAATGTGCTAGTTTACACTAATGGCAACATATAGGTAATTTAAAATAACATACATGATATTGACATATTTATACTTCTTAGAAATGATGGAATGTATTTACAGACATACAAATATATGACAGCGTTTTAAAAATTCCTTTACTAATTACACGTTTACAACATTTTTTGAAATGATCAAATGAAAATGCTTTATTAAGCTCTTTCATTGTATTATTTGTTAAAAAAAAAAAAAAGGTCTTCAAATGTCCACATTTTCCTTCATTCCTATACCTGTTTTAAAAGTCCATTTTTTACAGAAGCATTAGAATTCATCTGGATAAGCACACATCACCAGATACTGTGAAGCTTCTAAAGTAACAGAGATGATGAATTATTTAATTAGTTGTGCTTTTTAAAAATAATAAGCCATAAGGGAAATGATAAATATTTTCCCACTTCCTCTGAACATAAAGGCCCTAAGTCAGATGAAAGAACAGGCTCCAAATGCTGCAACAGGAAAGAAAACATGATTGTTGTGTGTGTGTGGGGGCAACTGGGGTTAAGTGACTTGCCCAGGGTCACACAGCTAGTAAGTGGCAAGTGTTTGGTCTGAGGCCGGATTTGAACTCAGGTCCTCCTGACTTCAGGGCCGGTGCTCTATCCACTGCTCCACCTAGCTGCCCCTGGTTCTTGCTTTTGACACAGAAAAATACAATTTAAAACACAGCTGACATTTTTCTTTTTCATGACTACAACCAAAAAAACTGCAGGGAGACAGAAAAATTCCTACCCTGACTCAAAATGCAATGAGAAGCTGCAGCAAGTTCACATATGTTCTATGTTAAATACACGGATAGCTGAGACATTGTTTTAGGTACCTCTTTTTATCCTGGAGATCTAGAGTACAGCATTTAAAGCTGGAAAGAACCACCCCTTCATTTTATAAATGAAGATGCTCATCTTACAGAAGAACAGTGAAGTGAATTCTCAAAAACCACAAAGGTCGAAGGCAGGAGAGCCAGAATTTGAACCCAGATCCTTAAATGCCAAACAATGCTACTTCTACTATACTAGGCTACTCCTTAATGTGATTAAGTGGGTATAGGGACAGGGATTGGTCATACAGATTTTTAGGTGCCAGTGCCTGCATTTGGATATATTTTTATTTCAATATTATAGACCTCTTTATCTCTGGCTGTGGGAGTTTGTCAGTACACAAACAAAATTCACACAAGCATAAATCTTAAGTTCTAAGTCATATGGTTGGTGAGTTTGTGTGGTGAGTTTGTGTGGACTCTTGAAAACGATGGGGTCTGGCTCCCACTACCCTTATTCCATTGCTGTTGCTCATCCCTGAGAACCAGCCACCTTCATCAGGTGTAGCTCTGAGCTCAGAATCAGACTCCACTGCATCCCAGAACACATGAATAGTTGTTCCATTGTAAACCTGGTCTAAATGACCCACATTGTTAAGCTTCAGATTTCTATGCTAGAATAAGAGGGTTTTTATTTTGCCAAAAGTTCATAGGATTTGGAGCTGGAAGGGATCCTAAAAATCATCTAATCCAATTCTTACACTCTGCAGATAGGGTTGCTGAGGTTCAGGGAGAGGAGTGGTAGTAGCTCAGCTGGGACTCAAACCCAGGTTTTCTGATCACTGGCATGCTTGGGTGATCAGGCTGTGACATATTATCAAGAATACTTTCATGCATGAGATATGGCATAAAGACACTCCCTAGGAAATGAGTGATGGCAGATGGCTAGGGTGGCTCTGAAGAAAACCAAAGGACCATGTCTAATGCAATGGATGGGCCTTCTAGGGAGGATTTAGGGAAATAGACAGCTAAGAATCGTGCAGGATGAGAACACAGGCACACGATCTAAAGAGGACTATGCCACTGAAATGAAGTCTCACACCTAAGGCCACACACTGACATCCAAGAATCTAGACGATGGCTCCTCATCCCTTCCAGACCCTATTAATTTGGTTTACAGAGGCAGCTAATCCTGAGAGATCTAACTTATGAGAGAACTGGCAATGAGGTTAATAGTAAAAGTGGCGAATGGGTCAGGCTTAAGTCACTGGCTAAGGGTCCTTTGAAAGGTTTCTTCTTCAGTGACAGACTTCAAAACAAGGTGATATCTTTAGGACAGGTGAGCACTGAATATCAGTGCTAGAAGAAAACAGATATTATCTAGTCCAACTCTTTCCTTTTACAGATGAAGAAACTGAGACCCAGGGAGGTGAGTGTTTTAGCCGTAGCCACAAGGCCAGCAGAAGAACTGGGCCTCAAACCCAGGCCTTCAGGTCCACTGATCTTTCTGTGTAGCATGCTGTTTCTCAGTAGATTCCCCACTTTTCTAAGATGCCCATAACTAAATTCAACTATGGAAATTAGCATAGGCTTAGACCTAAAAGGAACTGAAGACTGTCTTTACTTTTCTGCTTGTTTTTCAAGGCATTCTGTTAGCTTGAAGACTCAGGGAGTGTTTGCCTTGTCTTCTCTCATCTAGTGCTATGGTGACTGTAATGAAGAGGTGATGGCTCTGAAAAAAAATGGGAATGGGAATGATGGTGTAGGATCTTTTTTCTTAAGCCTCAAGAATTGAGAACCTGTTTGCAAAGATCTATCTGCCGCCTCAGAAAAATAATCAAAGACTCCAGTCAACTGATAGATAGAACTTTTTCCTACAAAGTCTGGACACAAGTGGAAGTGGGAGAAGATGGAGGGGGGCAAACCTGGGGCATCGGGCTTAGGAGCAGATAAGCTCTACCCTCTGTATCATGTTATATGCAGATTCTTCGGAGGAGACTCATCTACGTGCACCTGTGATGAATCACACTGTACTATTTTTGTTCTGGCTTTGATATGACATAACATGGCTTTTAGTTTAACTGATTCTCATGTGTGACTGGAAAAAACAAATAAATGATGGAACATTACTTCAGAAAGTCAATACTTAATTCTTTTTGTAGGACTTACGGAAGAGGATAAGAAGGTATCATGATTGAGTCTTAATGGGACCAAACTGTGTTCCTTCGAGGAAATTCTATTGGGTATCTTAAAGTAACCCATTGCACAATAAAACATCATATTAAAGCTGAGTAGTCAGTTTGGGCCGGTAATTCTTCTAGTTCAACAATAATCCTCCCACAGGACCAAATAAGGGAGGCCAGAGTATTCCTTAAAATCAAATGGCATGATCTCCCCTAAAATGGAGAAATGAAGCAAAACATTCCTGTCAGGAATTCTGGAAATATTCCCTTCTAAGAAAACACACCCATACACACTTTCAAAAAACCAGATGCCTGGCAGTGGTAGTCACATCATCTCTCTCTTCTGCTTGGCCAAGACAAACCCTCAAGGTCCTGGTAGTCTTTACACAGCAGACAACTGGTGCTGCTGTTGCTTGGGTGGGGCAAGTTCAAGGAGGGCCTGGACGGTCACTGCTACCTGGGTCAAACCTTTTTCTTCTAAAATATGGAGAGGCAAACATAATCGCTCCTGAAAGGGGATAACATAACACAGAAAAAAAAATGAAAGAAAAGAAAATGGAATGAACACCACAGTTTAAAAGAACAAAACAAAACAAAACAACCCTGCCCACTTACTAACTGAAAGATGAAATGCTAAGACATGAGAAAATCAACTAAAATATACAAAATCAAATGCATGGATTGTATCTCACAACTAATTATTCATGATAATTTATTCTAATAAATTAAAGAGGGATAACTATACAGGCTAAATATATATCCACCATTACATATTAGTATGTTCCAATGACAGTCATTTTATTAATCAACAAAATTCAATGCAAAGAGAACATCTGGAAGGGACTGAGAGTGGACAAGTGGCATATACTTCATTTTTTTAAGAGGAATATCACATAGGAAGAGTGGATGACAGTTGGAATAGAAGAAACAACTTTTTTCTTTTTTTTTTAATGACAAAGATCCAAATATAAGAGTAGACACCTGAAGCAGAAAAACTTTAAACTCTCTGACAATTTGCTGAGACCTGGAAGAGACCACCGAATCAAAGATCTGGACTAGGAAGGGACCTTAGAGGTCCTCTGGTCCAACCTCCTCATTTTACATATGAGGAAACTGAGGCCCAGGGAGACTACATGACTTGCCCAAAGTCACATAGGTAGTTATCATCAGAGGCAGGGAGTAAACTCAGATCTTCTGGCTCCTCCTATTGCACCACACTGTCTCTTAATGCACTACAAGGAAGTGCTTTGGAAATTACATGCCAGCTACGTCAGAGATGCTCATACAAAAATTCTGACAAACCCGGGAGCAATGAACATGAGGTAGACTGTCATCTGCGTATTTGGAAACTTGGGTATTACTACTCTAAGAGATACTATAAGAAAAGAAGGAAGTACAGTTTGAGCTTTTGGGCTTTAGACTTACTCATTTAAGGTAAATTCTCCTTAACTGAGATTAATAGGCAGATGGAGGGAGGGGCAGGAGATCAAGCTGAATTAGGGAAAAATTTGAATTACAGCTTTTTGTTAAAGTGTATTTTTGTAGGATTTAAGTGTGTATATAGTGATTAGAACTAAATTAACAAAACATTATCTTATAAAGGACATAACAAATTTCTGAAAATAATTTGAGGTTAATAGGTCAGTGGTTCGTCTGCACATGTGTACTTGTAGAGGGCTGAAGGGCTTTAAATACCTTGTTCAGTCCTGCTTCCAAAATACATGTGGTTAGTAGGCTCTTTCCCTATGAGCTCAAAGTGGAAACTTTCCCTGGTACTTCCAGGCCTCCTGTCACAAATTAGGGGAATCCTAATGAACAAAGTTTAACTATATGCCCAAACTGCTTGGGTGAGAAATGGAGTGTACACAACACTAAAAGAACACAAGGAAGCTATCTGGCTCCACTGATAATTTAAGTGCATCTATAAATGAAAAAAGGTGATTTTCCTGTGCATTCATTTGCTTAATTTTCACAGGCACTCATTTCTCAGTGTTATTAATAAGAAGTTTTACAAAAATTGTACTTAGTAAACAGTTATAATTAAAAATACAACATTTTCTTTCATGGCAGTTATTAATATTTATGCTATTTAATTATGTTTCTGATTTAGTAGGCTTTTTCTTGTTTGGCAAAATAAGATGCCTAATATTTGGCAGTGTTGTAAAACTAGAATATTTGTTTATATCTATAAGTGGATGAATTAAAATCTAGAAGGAGTTTCTCTACAGTGTTTTCTTCTCAGATCAGACAGTTTTCCCAAGTAGGAAGGCAGCCTTCTCAATAAAGCCAACCATCCTGGGGGTCCCTCTCCTATAGAACAGCACTCAGTGCGATCAGTTTAGAATTATATGTTTAGATGATGCACCTGTTATTTCCAATGCCCTTAGGGTCATAACTACATACAAAATGCAATAAAAACAAATGCTGTTTTATAATTACAGTTGAGAGGTTTGGTTTTGTTTTTAAAGGAGAAAAACTGCTAGAATGATCACTGTCTCAATCATCCATCATCATAAGCAATAAAACACTTTTAAAAATAGGAAGGAAGGCACCAGTGTTCAATATTTACAGAAGTACCCTAAGTAGCTGAGTACATTTCTGTGGTTGGTTGTCAACAGTGCAAACAGAGCTGTAATGACAAATTCCTTCATCCAATAATTGTCCTATCTAACAAGGAGGAAAGCTGAAGCAAACAGACACTCGGGCTGAATGTCAGATCTCAAATAAGAATGCCAAGTATCCCCAAAACGACTACTTTCTCTTCACTGAAATATTTTCTCCCCCTCCTTCTTACATGGTCTAAGTTTTAATAAAAGAGCTCATGAGAATGATTGAAGTAAATGTTCAGGAATGCATTCTATGATGTCAATAATCTAAGCTTAGTTATGAGGTAGTGCTTTAATATTCTCATCAGCAGGGCTTGAAGAGCAAATGCTAAACATTTCTGAAGGATGAATTCAAATTCCCTGCTTCCCACCCAAAGCAGAGGCTGCTGCCTAAAAGGAACAGAACTTCTGTGTCATTCTCCTCTATACTGAGGATGCCCAATGGGATAGCTTCTGCCTCACATGATACTTAAAAAGAGCTCTAATGTTTTTCACAAATGTCATAGGCTCCTGTCTATAGTCCAAGGAGGCAGAAATAGATCTTGGTCCAGGATAATGAACAGAGCAAGTCTGGATCAGCAACAAGTCCAGACACTTTTACTTTCTTTTCTACAATACAGAAGCAAAAAAGCTCAGTTAAATTACTTTGCTTACTGCCTCTCATTTTGAATTTATGTTATGGGCTTAAAATGGCGGCGTATATAGAAGGCTTATATATAGGAAAAAATACATATATTTTGCCAGTGCTAAATCTCCTTGTTTGCTAAATAGAGAGACAACAAATAACATGTGTATCCATGGATACAAATAGCAGAAGAGTCCCAATTTTTAGGTGCAGAAACCCAGCAAAGCAGTTTTGTTGACTTGGGTCAGGTGGCAACTAGAAACCAGCCAGACATAACCTAAGAAATGGTATCACTGCTTTTCTGGTGGTTAATATGCTACTACAAAGTAAGGCTGGGTATTTTACAAGGAAGGTACATTTTTACTGCCATGGGTTACATGGGTGTCCCGTAAAAATGTAGGTCCCTGTCTTTTGGAAGTTAAGATCTATGTAAGTCTTTTAGTCTAAAAATAGGCTAAGGATTTATATCATGTAAAGTGTCTATCGCACTTTTAATAACAAACAAGGAAAATGGGGTCAGGTCACTATAAAGTTATTCTCTAATTCCTATTCAGCAAATATGAATGTGGCAGACACTTATTGGAAGACTTTTTTTTCAGCTAGAGTGAAAAACCCAGTTGTAGAACATACACAGAGAGAGCATTAAAGTACAGTAAAATGCCACAAAGCCCAGAAGCTGGGCAGATAAGGAGATAAGAGAGGATTCTTCTGAATGTGCCCCAAGAGAAAGAAGTGTTTCAACAGTCCTTTTAACGCTGAGGTTTAGCTGAAGGATGTCTGAAGGGGAACAAAGATTGTCCTGTCCAAAGTGTGAGCAGGAAAGGAAAACAGACAGAAAAACAAAGTCAGTGGGTCAGAAGTACAGACTTTAGTACAGAATTATATCATGAAACCATATCAGTTATACTCCAAAACATACATATAATACCAGATTCCTTTTTATAATTGTAAGTAAATGAAAAGATTTTTAAAAAAAGCATTTAAAAAATCCCTATAATTACCCAGGCCTGATTCTACTAGTAAGTAGAGTAAAAATGGCTTGCTCCAGACTTACAGGACATGAAGAATATAATTTGCAAAGGTGTATGCTATCTTTTTATGCTAAATGAAGTTTATGTCTGTCAGGGGCTAGAGGAGGCTGTAGCAAGCCTTTCTTGGTTCCCCCCACCCCCACTATAAGAAATGGTTTCTGGAAGGGACTAACAAATAGATGGGGCAGTAAGCAAGGTGTGCTAGAGAAGGAAAAATCGAAGCCCTAAAGAACAACTAGGTATGAGACAATAAGGAAATCAAGAGATCTGGAGATCAAATAATAAGTGACATTTATATAGTCCTTTGAGATGCAGCATAGAGTAGCAGATATTAATCAGTAAACATTTATTAAGCACCTACTATATGCAAGGCACTGTGTTAAGTGCTAGGGATACAAAAAGAGGCAAGACAAAGTTCCTATCTTCAAGAAGCTTATAATCTAATGGGGGGGGAGTGCAACATGCAAACAAATATCTACAAAGTAAGCTACATACAGGATAAATAGGAAATAATTAACTTAGGGAAATTGGTAGAATTAAGAGGGGTTGGGAAAGGCTTCCTGTAAAAGATGGAATTTTATCTGGGACTTAGAGGAAGCCAAGGAGGTCAGCAGGTGGAGCAGAGGAGGGCAAGTCAGAGAATCATGGAATAGATAGGATCAGTTAAGATAGAGAATGAGCCTTGAGCCTCCCTCGGTATCACAAAGACTTAGGTTCAAGTTTGGGTTCTGATACATACTGGACGAGCAACTCTAGGCAAGTCATTTAACCTCTCAGTTCTGTGGGAAACTTTCTAGAACTACAAACTGCAGGGTACTTGCTGATATGTTTTAGTAAAGGGAGTTTCCTCACTGGGATTTCTGTACACCCATGAAATTATAGTTCTACCTTCTCTTTACCACAACATATACAGTGTTTGCAAAGCACTTTATACGCACTCTATAATTTGAACTTCATAACAATCATGTGATGTAGGTACTAAAGACAGATGATATTATCCCCATCAGAGTTAGGATCTGAACTCAGGTTTTACTTAGTTCAATATTCTATCTATTATGCTATGTTGTGTCATCAAAGTATTACAAAATCCATGGTATGAACACCTCTAATTCATGTGGTTTACTAAATGTCTGTCCTGAAAGAGCCAGTAGCATATGGCCAGAAAATCAACTTACTGGGAGAATCAGGCCCATTATAACTAAAACTAGCTCAATTATACCTAGAATCAGAAAATCACAGAACATTAGAGCTGGAAAGGCATCTATGTGACACAAAGTCACAGAATGATAGGTCAAATCCATTTTTCTTACAGGTGAAGAATTCAAGAAATTATATTAATTAAATTAAATTAAAAGAATAATATTAAAGGGATGAAAAGGACAAATTTTCTTGGAAGTTAACAACTGATACAAACCTTTTGATATAGAATATATCCATATATGTTATACATGAATATATATACACAGATACATATATATCTATATACACATATACACATACACCAACTTGAAAGCTTTATATATTAAACCAAATGGAAGCTTACTTTCTATTCAAGTCAAATAGAAGCAGAAATGGGAACAAGTAAAAACATACATATTATTTAGTATGACAAGACTTCTTACTATCATAAGGTTCAAGATCTTTATATTTCAGAAAGACCAACCAATGAAAGCTACAGAAGAACAGGGAATATATAGACGTAAATGATGATGCATTCTTAGAGAATTACAAATAAATCATTTACCAGCTTGAAACATAAGTATTTTGAAAAATAGGTCCATACCTCTGCAGACCATGATCAGCCTTCCAACATCAACAATAGAAAACAGTTCTTTGGTGCTAAGGTAGAAAGCTAAAGGGGCAGGTAAAGGAGCCAAGTTTTAAGGGGATCCAGAGCTCTGGGAGATCTAATTTATTAAGTAGATGAGAGTTTTCATAATGGCTTATTCTGCTCTCTTTGAAGAGTTCTTCTTCTGAGTAAGGATTAGTAAAAGTATAAGGTACCTACTTTTATCCCTTAGTAATAAACAGTTCATCTGAAGATGAGCACATAAGTTGAGATACAGAAGCTATACAAATGACAAGTTCTCTTTTGTACTTTTTCCTCTGACTCAAATTGAGGGCAGTGGAGGTCAAGATGAAGTCAAAGAAGTGGAATCCATCTTGTTCTCCTATCTCATGATATCTATTTGGGTAGATGTTAGAAACCTGGGTTCAGCTTAGAATGCTGATAAGCTTGGCGAGAGCCATAATTCTATTTCCTTCAATGTGCTCATACAAATTCAATAGAAAAAGAATTCCTTTGAGTTTGTTTGGATGACACTGAAATTCACTGAAAATGGCTTGGGAATTCAGTCCTTTCAAAAGATAACTTATAAAACATCAACTTTGCCCAACTCCCATACTGATCCAGGAGGGTTTGTAGTTGGGAATCCTTGATCATTTAAGGACATACATTTTGACAAATCATGGCTAACATTAAGCAATGACACAATAAAACAGTTCTAGAAGCAGCTGAGGATACTCAGCTTTATCAGCATGTTTTTCCTTTACAAACTGTTCAGGGGTTGACAGCAGTAAGTATCTAACTGGGAAACTCAGTCCCTAACAGTAACAAGAACTGATAATAACCCTTAGTAATAATTGTCAAAAAACACCAGGAGACTAACAGAAGAAAGAAACATTTTTTAAAGAAACATTATAAATACATTATAAAAAATAATTTTCTTAATGAAAACTTTTCTAATAGAGAGAGATGTTGTTAGGACACTGGGATGATTAAAGAGAGATTGCAGTTGTAAAAGCAGTATTTAACCTAACTGGTAATACACCTGTGAAAAGAATGTGGGAGGGGGAATACAACAAATTAAAAGTATTTAATAACATAAACACGTTGTAGGAATGAGGATTTCTATAGTGATAATCACTAGTCAAAATACAGAAACCGATGTTCTTATTAACAGGCAACAATCTAAATATTATTTTAAAAAACTAAACTATTAAATAAGAAAATATTTTAGAATCAGCTCTTCAAAATACATCAATCAATCAGTAATTATTAAGTGCTATGAATCAAAAATTCTGGCATTCACTGAGTCTTCTTTTTTGTTGAGTACCTATTATTTTGAATACAAATATTAGTTTATTCAAAGCTCAGGTAGGGAACTCAAAATATTGAGGTAGATATGGGAAAGAAGGCATTCCAGTAAACTTCCCTAAAGGCAAACTGGTAGGGAAATTTTTGATTAAAGAAAATTATGGGATTCCTCTCACTAGTTAAAGTGGAGATATCCTAAATGATGTAATCTCTCCCTTCTGGTTTCTATTGGATGGCAGTGGTGAAAAAGTTCTGGCACAAAAGGGATGTTTGAGATATTTTTCATGACCTCTGCAACTGGAGAGAGGTAGAGACAAAGATTCAAGAAAAAGCCTGAGGATTTGAACCTACTAGGATTACTAACTCCAAAGGAAAACACAGAACTGTGGAAAATGGAACCCAATAGACAAGCTTGGGGTCTGGGTTCCAAATCATGGAGCTGACAAAAAAAAAGCTAAGGGCTTCTTTTTTTGAAGATGTAAAAGGCAAAAATTAAGAAGACTAGGATTGCTAATTAGGATTAGTGACAACAACTTCGAAGTCTGTATTTCTTAAATCTTATTCTTTAGGCACACATGATTTGAATCAGTGTTTTTTAATGTTTCTGCATTTAGCTGTTTTAATACAGAGTTAAATAATTAACTGAGAGGTACAGTGAACTAATTTCTGTCTTTGATAAACACAGGATACGCTTTAATTGTTTGAACCATGAAGTCAGAAGCAGGGTACTTGCTGATAGACTCAAAGTATGGGAAACAGACAATTCTCCCTCGATGTAAATTTGCATTATGCAAATTTGGCTTTACATAAAGAATTCTGAGAGAAATCTGCATTCCAAAAAACCCACCTAGGTCAATTTTTCAGTACTGTGGTCTCTCTGCTCCTGCCTCTCAGCTCCCTGAGGCTTTCTACCCGTCCACAAAAACAAAAAACCCCCAAAACAAACCCTAAAAAAACTCTTTTAATTAAAGCAGAAGTTAGGGAACTTGGCTTGAGATCCCTTGAGATTGTTGCCCTGCTCTGCCTTGCTGCTCGCGTGTCCAGCCCCCGCGTGTCTGTCTTCTGTCCCTCTGTGCTCAGGTACCCACTGTCTGCCCTCGTCCCAGTGTGTTCCTCCTCCTGTTCTCCCTTCTCTGTGTCTGGCCCCCACATGCCAATGAACTCTGGTAATCGAGAAAAAGCTGCATAACCTGCTCAAAAATTAACTATATGACCAAGTCAAGAACTTGGCTCAGAGCTGGACCAAGAGATCACCATAAACTTATATTCCTAAGAGCTGTTTTACTAAATAACATATAATTCTAATAGACAATAAAAGAACAGCAAGTATATTTACCTGAGGTACACCAATTTTTCTGCAAGCCTCTAGGAAATTTTCCACATTTCTCCTGCACTTAGCCATTGTCAATTTAGGCTGCAATGAGAAAGAGAGAGAAGGGATATATACATGCATGCATGCATGCACGCACACACGCACGCGCGCATACACACACACACAATTGCCTTTTTTAGTATTTGCCTTATACAGTCAAAGCCCCTGGCTAGAATTGGCTAAAACCGTTAGTTTTATTTTTAAAATGTACACACACACACACACACACACACACACACACACACACTTATTAAGTGCCTACTATGTGCCAGGCATTGTATCGTCCTGGGGATACAAAAAGAGCCAAGACAGTCCCTGCCCTCAAGGAGCTTACAGTCCAATGAGGGAGTCAACATGCAAACAAATATATACAAAGCAAGCTATATATAGGATAAATAGGAAGTAATTAGCAGAGGAAAGGCACTGGAATTAAAAGGGGCTGGGAAAGGCTTATTGAAAAGATGGGATACATACTCACCCACAACACACATACTACATATAATAATACAGTAAAATAGTTCTAGCTGGGGGCTTTGTGTAATGTAAGTACTAAAAAAGGGAATTATTAACTAAATATGTATATGCAATACATATATGTATGTATATACACATATGCATTTACGTACATGCACCATATACACACATGTATGTGATTCAATACATTTTAAAGAAAACTGATGGTTGCTACACAACAATACAATAAAACAATTCTAGCCAGGGGCTTTGATTGTGTAAGGTAAGTATTAGAAAAAGGAATTATTAACTAAATTAAAACTATTTGTTTCTGAGTAGATTAAAGATTCTGGATGCTGCTTCTAAGTGGCAGTAATACTTGAATTTTAAAAGCTTGCATCAGAAGTAACTATCTTTCTGAAATGTCTTATCTTTACAAGAAATGTTACTTACTGGTAAAATTGTTTCTTTGCCTATCCATCACGCCTGACAGTTTGTACCAGTGCTTCTAATTACACTATTCTAAGTTCTAGAAAAAACTTTTTGGTTTAAAGAGTTTCCATTAGACATATCCCTCCCCTAGCCTATATGTTTTCACCTTGTCAGGGTAACTAGGATACTCACACAAGCAGTTCTTTAGTTCTAATCCTGTATGAATTTACTTAGGTCTAGGATTTAATAGTCAAGAGTCAGGTTGTCAAAGGGAATACATCTTTGGAGAAACAAGCTTACAGGTAGGCGTAGGGAACAGGTAATAGGTTAATAAGGGTTTCGTCAAAAATGAGATTTAGTTGCCTCTTACAACCTGGTACCACAGGTAACTGTGGAGCTGGACCACCAGCAGGTGGGACACAAAGTTAAGCAGAAAATGTCAGTAATAGTGAGAATTGAAAGGAGAGGCTAAGTCTACACTAAAGAGTTGGAGGATCATCAGTCTAGAGCTGGAAGAGATGACCTCATCTAACCCTCTACTTTTACAGATGTGCAAAGTGAGACCTGAGGAACTTGAGCACCTTGCCTCAAGTTCTTTCCATGGTACTACACTGTCACTTGTAGTCTTTATGAGAGCACTTGAAGGTGGGGAAGACAGCTGACTGAACTGTGGCCCTGGGCCTAAGCTATGCCATGAATGACCAGACTAGAATTGGTTCAAAAGTAAAAAGAAAAACCAAACAAACCACTTTTTATATGTTCTTTTAAAAACAACAACAACGTAATAGACTTAGGATTCAGTTCCTTTATTATAAGGATAAAGGGATTCTATTCAGGCAGGAAAAATACTATTAATATTGTGGAACATGGAAAGAAAGTATTTTGATTTTTTGTAAGGGTTTTTTTTTCAGACTGAAATAAAAACCACAGATATAGCCAGGAGGAAGTCAGTTAATCAAGAACAAATACTTGGGATGTACCTACTATGTGTCATGTACTGTTACAGGTGCTGGGAATACAAATAATCTTTATTTCAGTATACTTTCTAGCTTATGGTACTAAAAGAAAATAGAAGATGCACTAGTTGTTACCTTCACTGGTTAGGAATTTTCTTTTGGAGAAGAGACTGACCCAGTTAAGAAGGGATAAATTTCATTCTTCTCTAGGTAATTCCTTCTGAGGGAACTGATAGGTACAGAGAGTCAATATAATGTCTACTTCCAAGGGGTAGCAAGCACATCATGCATCCTCTTTAGGAAGAAACTGGTCGAGAAGATGGGGATACTGGTCAGAAGATGAGTATGTAAGAAAACTTCAAGAGAGATGGGAACATAATGGAAGGAAGGAGGGTTAGGGGGAGGAAAGAACCCAGCACCTATGAGCTGGTAGTGGTGGGTGAGAAAGGAATAAAGACAGCTGGGACCCTACCCTTTAAAGCAATGAAAAAAACAAAAAACAAAAAAACAAAACAAAAAACCCCAAAAAACCAACGATGAGATCAGGAGATGTGAGGACCTGTTGTAATAAAGAAGATTCCCTTTTGAGGTTTAATATGAGAACTCTGAAATTGTTAACTCTGGGCATAGAGAATTAGTTTTTGATCTCCTCAAATATGTTTTGCACAAGGAGAAAGGAAAATCTCAAATGCCATGTAAAGCATAATCTAGGAACCTTGGGCATCCTTGATAAATTAATCAATTAATAAATATCAGGAGCCTACTATGTGCCAGGCACCATGCTAAGCACTGGGGAAACAAAAAGAGGCAAAAGATTGCTCTTGCCTTCAAGGAGCTCACAATCTAATGGGGGAGACAAAAGTAAACAAATATATACAAACCAGTGGTACACAGTATAAATAGGAAATAATTAAGAGAGAGGTCACTAGAATTAAGAAGGGTTGGGAAAGGCTTGATGTATAAAAATGGAATTTTAGCTGAAAAGCCAGGGACATAATAGTCAGAGGAGAGGAGGAAGAGCGTTCCAGGCATGGAGGGCAGGGGTTAAGAAGAGAGTGAGAAGGGGCAGCTAGGTGGTGCAGTGGATAGAGCACCGGCCCTGGATTCAGGAGGACCCAAGTTCAAATCCGACCTCAGACACATAACACTTACTAGCTGTGTGACCCTGGGCAAGTCACTTAACCTCACTGCCTAGCAAAGGGGGGGAAAAAAGAGCCTAAGAAGAGAGCGAAAGTGGAGACATTTATTATAGATGACCATCTCTGAGTATGGCTGAGGTAGGGTGGAGGAGTAGCTCATGGGAGGAGAGAAGTTGAAGAACTGAGGGTATTTCAGGGAGAGTCAATATGTATGTTGAAGTTCCCCAGTACGAGGCGAGGAGAGAAAAATTGTAAGCCAGGTATCAAACTCACTGAGGAAGGAAAGGGAGTGATCTGGGTTCTGTAGATGATAGTTACTAGGGTTTTGATTAGGTGGGAGATATGAATGAAACATGAATCTCAAAGAGAGTGAAGGAGGAAGGGGGAAAAGCTAGAAGTGACAATGGGGAGCAAAGAGAATTCCAACTTAAAAAATGTTGAATTGAATGGTCTGAGGGAAAAAAAGAAGGGCTAAGCAAGCCATTCAGATGTACAATTCAAATGAATATAAAATGGTGATCAGGAAACAGTAAGTATGTATATACAAACTCTTTACAGTAGAAACCCAGTTATAGTAATACTATTTTATTCAAAATAGCTAATAATTCAAGAAGACTCCAATTGCTCTTGGAAAGCCACAAGCTGCCATTTCATAAAAGATCTCTTTTCTGAGACACATTTCAAATGTGCTAAACCCAAGCATTCCCAGAGTTAATGTTCTCTCCTGAAATAGTAAATTTATCGTATACATTCTTCTGTCCTGCCAATTAAATTTTAAATGGTTACTACTCATGCTACTCCCTTGCTCAAGAGCAAAATGACAAGTTAAATATTTTCATTTACTAGACTATTCAATTAGCTGAGTAGTTATCAGAGTACTTAATTTTTCTTGTACTCATTTTATATGCTTTAAATACTGTGATATGTGGTGGCTGAAGAAAAGGAATCTTACCTCTCCTCAGCCCAAGCTTAAATTTTTCTCTAAAAATCTGGCACCATACTAGTTTGCAAATGTTAACTTTTTGGAAAAAATAATGGCAGTTGTATGATATCTTTCAGGAAATAACTTCTTAACTCAACTAAGAGAAACTGGGAAGCCTACAAAGTAGAGAATAAACTCTTCCTTCAGTGGCTTCCTCCAACAATATGCCGATTCCTGTCCTCCTAATCACTCCAGAACAAAGAGTAAGATTTTTGGTCCACTGGGTTTGTTGCTATGTGATAGTTTCTTTTTGTTTTCTTTCTACATACCTGGATATATTTTCTAATCTCAGCAAAAAGAATGGCTACCTGCTTCCTAAGGAATCAAACTGATGGACTATGTATTAGTCCTGGATGGCCCTATTTTGAATTTTTGGATAGTCTCTTAGAAGTTAGCCCAAGATCTTCAGTCTTCTTTCCTGAGTATCTGATATGTGATCCCTTTGCTAGACAAAGGAGTCAAACTCAGGGTCTGAAATACACAGAAACGCTTTCTTCTAATCAGAAGAATCCAAAAGTCTTAAGACAGAGGCAAGGGACAGCACTTGGAGAGGCTGGGATAGAAACATGACAAAGACTGAAATCATAGGCCTTTATGCATATCAGTGGCAAATGAAAATAGAAAAATTGTCCACTTAATGAAAATACAAATGTATAGTATGGTGGAAGGAATCCTTGGTTTCAGGAAACTTGAGTTTCAAACTCAATTCCACTAATTCCTAGTTACATGATCATGAGCATGTAACTTACTCTCTCTAAGCCTAAATGTTATCATCTGTAAGATGGAAACGATATTTGCATTACCTATCTCACAGGCTGATTGTGGAGGAAGGTGCTTGTGAAAACTTAGGATATGATATAAATTTGTTACTATTATTATAATAATAGGTGAATAAGATATGAAAATTTAAATATAACTAAAAATGTAAACATATAAAGTATCATTTAGGCTATTAAAGAGAGCTAAGTTAATCTGTTAGTTAACCAAATACTCTCTGATCCTTATATACTTACTACAGCAGGGGAGGGAACATGAATACTGGGAACAGATCGAGGACGCACATGGTTGGCCAAATGACAAAGAACAACACCATCAGTAAGAGCTGCTCCAAGATCACAAGGAAGAGAAACTTTCAACCGGAACTCAATATTCTGGGTAAAAGAAAAGGTTACACACATTACATGATATATCACAATACAATTTATTACACACAACATACGTGTATGTTACATATATTCCATATATGTTAAATATATCACGCACACATTACATATATTATAATATGATATATTACAAGGAAGGAAAAGACCCAAGAGGACTACAAAACACATTTCATTTGCATATTAAATCATCCAAAAATTGAGGGAAAAAAAATTACCAAAGTGGTACAATGTTTACATTCTCTCTCTATCTTCTCTATCTTCTAGAGTGTAAAAGGCAGCCAGACTAAAAAGAGTTGGTCCTAAAGTACATTATAAAACTAATCATACTTATCTTCTGTGGAAGATCTGATCCTCTTTCAAACCCAAAGCAAAACAAATTGTTCATCACAATCTATACTCATATGATCTTAGGTTACATTCTTTTCCTCCTTCAGCCAAGAAGAAAGGAGAAGGACTTTGAAGTTCTATCATATTTTAAATCTCATTATTACACTCGATCATGTCCTGAAGTCTCAAAAAATCTGTTCACTTTGGTGGTGCTAATTCAGAGGCTAAGAAATGATATAACAGTGGAGGATCCTAGTGAAAGAATTTATTTTCCACTTTACCATCAAGACAGAGAGGACACATGTAGAGTGAGGTACTTAACGTTTAGTAAACGGATCTCTGTTGGCAGAATTAATGAATGATGCCTCGATCCTTGACTTTAGTGATATCCCTGAAACAGTATCACTCAAAGGTAACAGGAGTACACACACCTTTCGTAGTTGATCAATTAATTCCAACTCTTCCTCACGTTGTTTGGAATTCTGTCTTGATCTGGGATCGGCAGATTCAGTTGTTGAAGCAGCAGAAGAAAGAAGCGGAGAGGAATGACCTACAAAAAAACACGAATATAGAAGGCAGTGTCAGGTAAATGCTAAGCTTTGCGTGAGCACGAACACACTTGCCTTGTGTAGAGAAACAAGTAGGATGATTTCTGTATGTGGTTAACTTTGTGGTTAGATTTTAAAAAAAATCATGCTAATGTTTCTTCTTCAGAACAGTAAAAGAGTCTTCATGTCCTTTTTGAGATCTGTTACACTCTGGTAATTACATGTAGATGGATACATAGAAGAAATTATAACATTTGTTTCTGTTCCTTGGTTATTTCTTTTCCCTTCTGGGCACAGGCTGAAAATTGTCAGACTAACAAGTAACAGTAGGCAGCCTTCAAGTAGATTTATTTTATAATTATTTCATTTTTTCAAAAATGAAGAAACCAGACTGTATCAAAACAGAACAAATGTAATAATCTCAAAGGGAATTCAGAAAAGGAAGAAAGCCAATTCTGCATAACTCAAAAAGGTTGTTCTATTTCTTCATTACATCCATTTCTATAATCACTATTTCTTGTTTTACTAAATGGTTAAGAGTAAAATAGTACAACTTTTAATGCAAATAATATTCTGTTTTATTCTTTTTTTTTAGGGATTTGTTTTGTATTTCTTCATTTAATATTCATTACGTGGTACTGCAACAGGGATCAACATATCTAGTAACTTGTAAGAGATTTTTTATTGGGTCCAGCATTTCAATTTTCCTCTAGTGGCTCACTCTCCACCATCAAGTTGGTTCAAGACGTCTTCCATTAATATCTCAGTAAGACCACACTAACCAAATTTTAGCGTTGCAAGAGTTCTCAGACACCATCTAGTTCAATGGATAGCTAAACAAGAATCCTTTTTACAACAGTTCCAGTAACTGATCATCCAACCCTTTGGCTTGACAATTTTTTTTAAAATAATTTATTTATTTTTAGTTTTCAACATTCATTTCTATAAGATTTTGAGTTTCAAATTTTCTCTCCCTTCCTCTCCTCCCTATTCTGTTTTATTCTTGATAGGTCTTATGGCAGTGAGATCACAGATAAGGATGTTTCACACTTTTGCCAAGATAACGAGGTGGCATTGCAGGGATTGAAAAGAATGGAACAAATACATTAGCTTCACTCTGCAGTACAAGGTGTCTTCATTGGTACTACCACATACCTTGATTTGTTTCATCTCTGACAGTTGCTCGGAAAAGGAAACTTTCTGGCCGCTGGAGCTGGTTTCTAAAGGTAGAAGTAGCAGGAGAATATGGAGGGCAAAGGTGTACTGAGACAGCATGGAAAAGCAAAAGAAAATTGAGAATGAAATAAATGAAAATGTAATAGAAATTATAAAGCGAAAAAAAGTTTAATGAAGTAGCAATCAAAGAAGCAGCAAATTAAAATAAGAAAACAGCATGATAATTACAAACTTTGAGCATCACAAAAAGTGTGACCAAAGGAAACGGGAAATGTAGGAGGGCCTACATATAGTGTATTTTTACTCATGCAAATACCTTATTCTCTCTGAGGGTGTCATTTGGATTGACACTGCATGAATTTATTTAAAACTTAGTCTGCCCACTTTTTGTTCAGAAGCTGATAGCAAAAATTAGGTGAATAACCTGTCTAACTGATTATCAAAGGGCCATAATGATGCCCATTTTATTCTTTTTGAATTTCTACTTCAAATAAAGAAACTATAGCATGGAAATATTCGCCCTTTGAAAAACAATTAACAAAAATATTCTCACTAGGTGATGGAGTAATCTAATCAGAGGCTGGTTAATTGTGGTTTTGTGCTTATTACCTGTTTGGGTTGTAGGTGAACCTGGTGAGATGGTGGGTCTGTCATCATTCTGTGGATAAATAGACAAATGTCAATAATTATTATTCAATGGGAAGCAATTATTCATACATGGCTCCTTTGGGAATGTATAAGACAAATATGACCTTTCACTTGGGAAAGAATCAGATACTATGAATTATAATTTTCTTTAGAGGCTAAGAAGGTCTTTTGGTTTGCATACAATGAATAGAAAAATATATGTTCTATGGAAATAGGAAAAGCTCTGCTTCATGAGCCTTTTCCTAGTACTAAAAAAAACACTATCATATATGGTAGAATACTTTACAGGAAATACACAGGGAAAGGCATTGGAACAAAATTCCATTTTACATCAGTGCTTTTCTGGAATATCTATCAAAGTACTCAGGGCAGGGAAAGAATGTGTGGAAGTATTGCTCTAAGGCTAGTCAAGAGAAGGAAGGAACATTTTATGAATTTTAGACATGGAAAGGAACATCTGGAGGTATTAGGTATACTCTGTCTCAAGGTATAGTTTTTTGAATGTTTCAGATTGTAAAATGTTTTAGATTCTTTGATCCTAAGGAACTGTAAGCCTGTGTTGTTGACAAGCTCTGGTTTTAGAAGATAAAAGGAAATAATGAAGAGAAATTCTACTCTGGATCTGATGATTCTGACAAAAACAAAATGAAAGTAAGTGAAACTTTGGGAAAAAGCAGCTTGTAACTGGTAAGGAAGAGGACCCTGGCATAACAAGGCAGCAAGGTGGTACAGTAGATAGAATACTAGACCTAGAGTCAGGTAGACCTGAGTTCAAATCGGCCTTAGATATTTACTAGCTGTGTGACCCTAGAAAGTCACTTAATCTTTCTCAGCTTTAGTTTCCTCATTTGTAAAATGGGGGTTAATAATAACACCTACCTCCTAGGGTTGTTCTGAGCATCAAATGAGAAATCTGTAAAGTATTCTGCAAATCTCAAAGCAGGAAGGAAGGAAAAGCATTTATTAAGTGCTAAGTGCTTTATAAATATTATCTCATTTGAGCTTTACAACAACTCAGGGAGGTAGGTGCTATATAAATGTCATTGTTTTTATAGCAGCCTGATGCACACTCTAGGCTTTAAAAGAGATTTTTAGAAGTTTAGAAAAAAAAAAAAAAAGGAAGATCTTACATGCTGTGGTTCTAAAAGGGAAATCAGCTCACAAAAGTTTAACAACGAGGTTGTAAATGATTCTAATGAGGAAGAAAAGGGAGAAGACATCTGAACATATGTGGCTATATGGTGAGCTCTCTGATGAACTTGATTTAAAAAAGTTACATTCAAAAGATGACAGAAAGGGAATCCAACCAAAGACAAATACAAAAGGCTAGTAAAGACCTAATTCAATAGGGCCAATATGTCTGAAGCCCAGTATAAGCTGAGGCTTGCAAAGAAAAAAAAGTACAAGAGGCAGCTAGGTGGCGCAGTGGATATGATAGGGTGCTTGTGATTGTACTTGGATCCCAATTTCTCCCCAGTCTTAGAAACACTGTCTCTGACAATTTCTCCCCAGCCTAAGGACACTGTGCCTAGCAGTCACTCGTGCGTGGGCCCCAGCAAGACCCTTATCTCTCTCCCTGGTGCACCTACCCAAAGTTGGGTGAAAGAGTACTAGGCTGCTCAGGCCCCAGCCCTAAGATCATGCCACTGGAAGCCTCCCAATTCCTCAGTAAGCTCCTGTCTTGTGAGAAAACTTTCCCTTGTTGCAGAGCATTCTCTAATCAGGACAGAGAGAGAGGGGTGTCTTGTCTGGCCCAAGGACTCTTCCTCCTACCAGATTCCCAAGATCCATGCCTCTGACATCTCCTTCCCTGTCTGGTATACCCCCTGTACTTTCCCATCCATAGCTCCCAAAGACACCTGGACCTTTAGAATACCTAATCAGTATCTGTGATATTCCTTTCCCATGTCCTTTTCCATATAAACCATAGTTCCATCCTCAGTTTCTCGCAGGTTCCTTTAGAATCCTTGCCTGCTGAAAAGTGTAACAATAAACTTTTTGCCAACTTGACTTAAAGAATGCTTGAGTCTGTGAATTCATTCCAGACAACCCCATCCTGCACTCCAGTCCTGTACTCCAGTCTTTGAGAGGTCTCAACCTCTCAGACTGCAACTTTTAGAGCTCCAGCCTTGGAGTTAGGAGGACCTGACTTCAAATCCAACCTCAGATACTTGACACTTACTAGCTGTGTAACCATGGGCAAGTCACTTAATCCTAATTGCCTCACCAAAAACAAAACAAAACAAAACAAAACAAAACAAAGAAACACCACAAAACAAAAATGGCTTAACACCCCCATCCCCCAAACAAAACTATATTGGGAAGGGCTTTCCCACATTTAGATAGCAAGGAAGTATCTGAAGCAGGATTTGAACTCAAGTCTTTCTTACTGACTTCAAGTACAGCATTCTGCCTATTAATACAACCTAGCAGCCTCTGATGTTGGCAGATGTGATGACTCAGAGACAGAATGTAGAAAGAGGGCCTAGGACCTGTGGCATCTAAACTCTTAGTGGAGAGCAAGATATGGATGAAAAGCTAGCAGAGGAGACTGAGGAATGGTGAGAAAGGTAGGAGGAGACCCAAAAGAGAGAGTACTGTCTTAAAAGCCAAGGGAGAAAAGAGCATAGGCAGAGGGAATGATGTATAGTAGCAAAAGCTGCAAAGAGGTCAAGTAGAAAGAGGACTGAGAAAAGGCTACTGGATTTAGCAGTCAAGAAACTGTTGATAGTCTTGGGGAAAACTGTTTCAGCTAGGTAGTAGTGAGTAAGAAGAAAGGAAATGTAGGTGATGACTACAGATAATTCTTTTCTGAGTAATTCTTCCCTGACAATATCCTATAGCCTACTAAGATACCCACCAAACATCTGTCTCTTGCCTTTTCAGTGACTCTCAACCTTAATTCATCAGAGACCATGGTATTCTATGACTTGCAGCCATATAGTATTATTAGAAGAATACTGACATTAGAGGGATGAGCCTTCAATTCAGGGAGAAGTTTGGGGTCATTAACCAAATACTCTCCAATTTCTGAAATGCAATATAGCCCATTTCCCTGTTCATTCTAGATCCACTTCACTATTACATCCTCCATAACAGTAGCAAAAATTTTTGTGTGTATATATGTTCCTGTTTTATGACTTAGCTGATATAAATAATTAGAGGGTCTTCAAATAAAATTACCTGTGATGTTATAAATTTCAAGGAATATTTTAAGGTTTTAATGCATGCATGAGAGACACCTTATTGGAGCAAGTCTTTAAGGCAGTGTTTGGTCTTTAGAATCAAATACTTTTTTATAATCAACAAACAATAAGCACAGTGAGATCTTGAACTTTTTTCACCCTTCAGTCAATTGTGTGACTGACTATAAAGATGTGATCTGCTACAGAACTCTGTTTATGAAAATCTGCCATTTCATTCTCCTAACTTTATTGAGAATGCCCTAGATAGATATGCTTACAAATTATTTTCATAAAGAGTTTGTAGAGATGGGGAAGCTAGCTGGTACAATGGATAAGAGTGCTGGGTCTGGAGTCAGGAAAACTTATCTTCCTGTGTTCAAATCTGGCCTCAGACTCTTACTACAGTGAGACCTTGGGCAAGTTACTTAACTCTGTTTGCCTCAGTTTCTTCATCTGTACAATGAGCTGGAGAAGGAAATGGCAAACCACTACAGTATCTTTGCTGAGAAAAACCCCAATGGGGTCATGAAGAATCATTCATGACTGAAAAATGAATGAATGAACAACAACAAAAGAGATGGGAAAATAACCAGGATAGTTATTAATATTCTTCGTTACCTCTTTCAACATTAGTGTCTGTACCTGAAGAGCTGCATATGGAAGATTAGATTTGTAGAATCCATTACTTCACAGAAAGCAAAAGTTGGGTATGTCCTAGTACATGTGATCTTCTAACTCCTCCCAGGTTATTAGTACTGTCTTCCTCTTGAAATGACTGTATTTACTTCACTGTTCTACACCCCCTTAGTAGAATGTAAGCTCCCTGAAGGCAGCCACTATTTTGTTTTTCTCTTTGTATCCCCAACATCTAGCACAGTACCTTGCACATATTAAGCAATAAATGTTTGCTGAATTTACTTGGCCTCATGCAGCAAAACTGTAGGACGGCAAATTCTGGCTCAATATAAGAACTAATTTTATCAACTAGAGCTGTTCAAATAAAGAATAAGCTTCCTCAAGAGGTTTTCAAATGAAGGATGAATGATCTTTGTCAGGGACGCTGCAGAAGAGCTCCAGGCCTCAACTAAAGGCTTAAGATCGTATGACCTCTGAGGCTCTTCCACTAGTGTAAAACCAACTATGCCATGATTTTTGTCAATGTCTAAGTTCTCCAAAGAGGAGCTGATCAACACATTGACAGAATGAGGATTAATTTATTTGAAATGCTGATTAACTAAGGGGGAACTGGTTACACCTAGAGCTAGAAAGAAATAATAAAAATTAGATTAAAAATTTAAAAAAAAGGGAGCAGGATTTCCTTTATTTTTCCAAGGCTTCATATTTTTTAACATGCCAAACATGATTTTACGAACAAATCAGGAATGTAACAAGCAGGAATGGACTTAAACTGCACGATGATGGATTTAACTGAGATAAGATTAATTCCTTGTCAATAAAGCTTGTTAACCATTAGTATGGATTATTGATAAAATCTGTAGAATTGCCTTCCCTGCAGTTCTTTAAAAATAGAATAGCAGATTATTATTTTTCTGTAATTAATAGTGGTTCTGATTGGGGGTAGAGGGTAGTATAGATAATCCCTTAAGTCATTTTCTTCCTTATAGGATTAGTATTTCTGTGGAAAACTTTGGTATTGTTAGGTTGAGGGAAGCACCATAAAGTATACTATTCTAAGATGTAAAATATGATGTTATTAATCTGATTTCGTATTTTTACCAAAGCAACAAAATTACTGATAACAAAAGAATCTATTTAAAAGATAATCAGATGCCATTTGAAAAACTCTACACTAATAGAACTAATGTAGCCACCAAGTATATTTGAAATATGAAAAGACTGAAAAAAGCAGCAAAATATTAATTAGAAATTAAACCTAACAATTTAAATGAAAACAAACAAACAAACAAACAAAAAAAACCAAAACCAAAACCAAAAACAGATACACACACAAAAGTAAATGTAACAAAAATCATAAAGATCAAATAGTAGTCGAAGAAAGATGGGAAGAGACTCCCCTCACCTACCCCATCATGGAGGTGGGAGCTCTACAGGGCTTGCACTTTGCAAATATTTTTGAACTTTTTCAAAGTATCCATCAGTTGTGTTGACTTTCCTGCCCCCCCCCCTTAAAAAAATACACTGTCATCTGGCATGGTTCTCTGAGAAGAGGAGGGGGATGGATATTTAGGATAAATATGATGATATGAGAAACAGAAAATATCAATAAAAACTTTAAAAGAAACAAAGAAATTAAACTTAATTAGAACTAATGCACTGGCAAACTTGGGACAGATGCAAAAAACAAAAGATACATTCCCCACCCTCATTTTTTAGTGAATGATAGTAATGAGATACCTTGAGAGGTCTGAAGGCAGAAGAATGAGGCAGGGTAGTAGCACAGCCCACTTGACTCAACCCTGACATCGACTGAATTCCAAAAAGGCAAAGAAAGATAAAAAGAAGGCAGCATTTATGTTAGTAAAATAAGCAAGATTAGAAAAGAAGAAGTCATTTATATATTCTTATGTCTTATTTAGATGTTGACAGGGCAGGAAGAGAGTATTTGTTAACAAATCAAACCAAACTCAATACAAAAGAAAATTTTCCACTGTATGTAACATAATATCTTCCTAATTCTGTAACACTTCAGTATTTAATAAACCTGGAAAGAGTTTCATGAAAAACATTTTGTCATTATGAATAGAAACACAGCCAAGAACATAACAGGTTTTAATAACACAACTATGGAAATTTAGTCAGTGATGTACTACATCAAAATCACATTAAAAAAAAGGATTTAATCTAAAAACTAATTTTAGCTGAATAAGTGGCACATAAAAAATTACTAAGTAAAATTCCAATTCAGAGTAAATTATATTTGAATCTAATAAAGATGTGATTCTATGTGAGAAGGTAGCATAGGAATGATTCTGCAAACAATCTGGAATGATAAAACTACATATACTATTAAGTGACCAGTTTCTTATGTTAAAACTAAAATAATTTTAAAAGGCAAACAAAGAGTGTGTTGTGAGCTCCAGAAATAGGGGCATGTATGGGTACACACACACACACACACACACACACACACACACACACACACACACAGAAGAAGGCATTCCGCTACATAACTTTAAAATCCTTGAACTGAAAATTGCTCATTAGTTGTTGAAAAAAAAAACATTTAAAATTTACATTGTATATTATTAATAGATGAATATTTCTGATGGATAGGTATAGCTATGGATATTGAATGACAGGAACTAATACATGTTCAAATTTAAGCTATAATAAGGTATATAAAAACATTTTTAAAATGTGATTTGAAATTGGAGACAGACTTTTTACAAAGAGATTATAGTAGGTGAATATTAGTCTAATTAATAAAAATTTTTAAATGATGAACTCAGATAAAATTCAATTAAAAATATCTAAAACTAGGATTATACATTTCAGATAGCCATCCTAAGGTAAAGACCTAGAGTATTTTAAATGGGATATCTAAATGTACTCATGTCCTTTTATGCCCTCAGAGAGAAAAAAAGTGAGACTACTGCCTCTTATTCAAAATATGTAGGTGAACAATAAAATAAATCTATGTTTTTAATTAAAGGGACTTCATCACCTCCATCACACTGCCAAAATAATCTGTTTCCTTCACAAAACATTAGATCATGCTCAATGTTGCTTTTTTTTTTAATTCAGGAAATAAATGCAAAACAAAACAAAATAATGAGATAGGGGAGTAGGAAATAGGAATGAGGTAATAACGCTAAACCCACCAACAACAGTATGCAGTTCACCTGTTTTGAGCATCCTAGTGCTTCTTTTATTTATATTGGCATTACTGCCAGTTGTATACACAAAGAAAGGCACAAAGCCAAGGTCAAGAATAAAAGACGAAAAAGGAGAGGGAAGAGGAAGTGCATGGGGTCCATGTATTACATTAAGATATTGATACAAACTTACAAAGTATCAATTTCCCGGGGAGACTGATAGAGAGGATGGCTGAGTAATTATGACATCAAATGCAATGGTGGAATAATTAATTTATATTTGACTTTTTTTATGAATAAGACTACTAAAGAGCTTCCTTCTGCAGGTGGAAGCTGTTACCAGGCTGAAAAGGTATTCCATACATTCAACTGGAAATACAGTCCTTAACACTGATGCTGAGAAGAGTATGAAGTGTGTATGCCTAGCTCTGGGTTTAAAGTGCCATTTGACAATCAAACATAATTTTTCTTTAATTGATTCAATCAATAAATATTTGAGTGTTTATAAGTAAGGTACCATATAAAGAATATAATTTCTAACCTTACGTACATTATATCCTTAGCTATTACATAAATATCCACAACAAAAGGTAATTTAATTTACATAAATGGTATAACTAAAGTATTATAGAGAAAGAGGAATCATTTTTAGTTGAGGTGATCAAAGAAGACATGAAGGAGGGATAGGCATTTGAGCAGGACCTTAAGGAAGAAACAGAATTTCAACAACTGGTAATAAAAGTAGGGGACATTTCTATGCAGAAAGAATGGCATGAGGAAAGATGCAGAGACAAAAAAAAATTCTGTTGAATGAATGCCTAAACAACAAATTTACCAAATGATAAATGGAACCCAGAGTGTAATGTGTGTTTGGGATGGCAAGTAGTCCAGATTGACCAGAGTACAGGTTTCAAAACAACGGTTGAGGGCTTTGTATTTATAAATCTTAGAGGGGTTGTAAGCTACAGCTATAGGCTGGAGCTACTCATCTGTCAAACTGAACTATTTGCTATTCCTTGAACACTGGAAAAGTAAGTAGGTAGAAATAGATCTGCTCTAGAATTCATAAATGCCGTCTTTGACAATATCACTAAAAAGCTAAGTAAAAATGACTTTTATAGATAACTATTCTAGGACAAATAATGTAATAGCACTATGTAAATGCTACCTATTGTAATGAGATGTTTATTTTACTAGGCAAAAATATAACTTTATTTGTAGCAAGAATCAAGATACTGTTTCTGACAACAGGTTCTTCACTGAGTCACCAAATGGAGCTTTACTATTTAGATAAGTAAAAATCTACTATAGGTTAATCTTTCTAAAAAAAAAAATACTGATTACATATTTTGGGAATAGACTTGTGATTTTATTAGTATAGGGAACTTCCAGTAAGGAAATTCCATCTAACAATGCAGATCAACAGCTGCTTCGTAATGTATGATTTTAGAGAAGTACCAGGGGCACGGAGAAGTAATTACCCAGCCAATGTCACACAGTGTGTGGATTAGTTAGGGCTTGAATTCAGGTCTACCTGACACTGAGGTCAACTTTCTAGCTGCTATGCAGAGAAGCCTCTCAATACATTAAAAAAAAAAAAGAAAACTTATGATTTCAATGGTACGACATTATAGGGAATTCTCAATAGCTGTTTCTTCTACCAACAACAGTCAGTACCAGCTCTAAAACATAGTGCTTGGGACACTGAGAAGTGATTTGCCCAGGGTCAAAGTATGAGAGGACTGATTGGAACCCAAGACTCTGAAAGCCTTAACTCTATCCATTATGACAAGCTGCCTCTCTGTTAAAATTATTACTCTGCTCAAAACTGGTCATGGTATTCTATTGCCTAAAAGATAAAATCCAAACACCTTAATGTAATGTTGAAGATCTTATTCAATCCTTATGCTTCAGCTAAAAAACTGCTGTTTTCTTGATTCTGTGCTTTTCCTTATGCCACTTATCCAACCTGAAATGTTCTCCCCTCACTTTTACTCATCAAAATTCTTCAAGAGCCAACTCATATTCTATACTATTTTATGAAGATTTGTCTATGCTACTTCACAGGTCACTCCTATCACAAAAACAAAGAGTTCTTAAGTTTGAAGGCCACTTACTGGTCGTTGTCTAACTTCCCTCTCAGTGCAAGAGAAACTGTCCTTCAGCCTCTGCTTGAATACTTCAAGGATGAGGGATAATCAAACAATGAATCACAGAACTTCAGACGTAAGGAAACTAAGGTCCAACCCCTTACTTTAACAGGAATCTTCTCTACAACATCCCTGAAAATGATTTACTTTACGATTTTTAGTCACTCTTTACCTTGGCAACCCATTTCACTTTTTTCACTATAATTTTACAGAAGTTTTTCACTATATGGAGCCAAAATCAGCTTTCATTCACTGCTTCTAGTTCTGCTTGCTATGATCAAGTGATATAAGTTGATTTCTTCTACCTAACAGCCTTTCAAATACTTGAAGACAACAACCATATCCTCACCCTAAATCTTCTTTTCTCCAAGCTGAAATATCTCCAGTTGCATCAATGCAAAAAAATTAAGAGATTGGAAAAGGTGAGAATAAAAGAAGCAGAATAACTGAGGAAAAAAGAGAAACATTTTAATTCCTATAAAGTAGCAGCTCTTTCCAGAATGACTTAATGATCACTTAATCAGCATTGAGCTAAACCATTACTTTAAATAAGAAAGTCTATAAAACTTTCTACATTCCTAAGGTTCAGTGTCTCCATCTCTGATTAGAAACAATGATTGCAGGTCCAGGTTCAGCATTCCCTGTGTTAAAGAGGCATGAGAACATGCTAAATAATTCAGTTATGTTTCTTCCCACAAACACATATTATTTGGTTATCATTGGATCCTGCTTTGAAACCTGGGCTAATTTCAGTATGAGCAGATCTGCTTTTGGGGAAAAAAGATATCTTTTATTTTTATTACTGTCTTGGAGAATTCTCATTACTGCTTGTAGCAGAGTAAAACTCCCCAGAGTGATGGTAATGTCGGTACACTTAATTTACTACAATACTTTTACTTCTCTCTGTCCCCTTACTTCAATTCAACCATCATTTATCCCAAATATACTACAAATCCCTTCTCTGTTTATCAATTCACCTCCCCTCACCTAACTCTCTCTTCTCACAACATTCTTCTCAAGAGGAAAATCCAGCCTCAGACTATGGAGAAGATTGGGATAAGCTCCTGCACGCGTGCTCATTTCTACCTCAGCACATCACTGGATCATATCTGTTCTCTCATCCTTCCCACCAGTCTCAGAAGAAAAGGTTTCTTTTCCTTTTCCAAACCAATCTCCACCTATTGCATCTCCTCAAGATGTTGGTCAAATGATTGTCTCATCCCTCTCTAGAATTTTTAGTCTCTAATCTTCACATTTCTTCTCTTCTACCTTTAAATATGCTAATTAAAATAGTGAGCATTTATATAATGCTTTAAAGTTTGCAAAGCACTGTACATATATTATCTCATTTGTTAAGCTAAACTTCAGTTGGAGGTTAGTGAAAATAGAGATGTAATATTTTTCTTCATTCAAGTTCCTCAAGACTCTGAAATTTATCCAATACACAATTACTGTGTTAGAGGGTGTATGGGTTGGAGGGAAGAGGTCTCCAACAAGTAAA